AACTATATGGTCTATTTTGGAGAACGTTCCATGTGGTGCTGAAAAGAAGGTATAAAAAGGTATACTCTTTTGAGTTTGGATGAAAAGATCTGTAGACGTCTATTAGGTCCATTTGATTTAAGGTCTCTGTAAGTGTTTTTATTTCCCTATTTGTTTTCTGTTTAGTTGATCTGTCCCTTGGTGAGAGTGGAGTGTTGAAGTCTCCCACTATTAGGGTATTAGGATCAATGTGTGATTTAAGCTTTAATATTGTTTCATTCACGAATGTAGGTGCTCTTGTATTTGGGGCATAGATATTCAAACTTGTGATGTCCTCTTGGTGGATTTTTCCTTTGATGAGAATATAGTGTCCGTCCTTATCTTTTTTGATTAACTTGGGTTGAAAGTCTATTTTATTAGATATTAGGATGGCTACACCCGCTTGTTTTCTGGAACCATTTGCTTGAAAGACAGTTTTCCAGCCCTTTACTCTGAGGTAGTGTTTATCTTTGTTGCATAGGTGTGTTTCTTGGATGCAACAGAATGATGGATCCTGTTTCCGCAACCATTCTGTTAGTCTGTTTCTTTTAATTGGGGAGTTGAGTCCGTTGATGTTGATAGAAACTAGTGACCAACAATTGTTACTTATTTTAGATGTGGTGTTGGTGGTGTCACTGAGTTTCATTGCTTGTCTTCTTTTGTTTTTTGTTTTTTTTTGTTGTTGTTGTTGTGTAATTATCTATTTCCTCTGTTTCCTTCGATGTAGTTGTTTTCTTTGGTTTGGAGTTTCCCTTCTAGTAACTTCAGTAGACCTGGTTTACTATGTAGATATTGTTTAAATTTGGTTTTGTCTTGGAATATCTTGAATTCGCCTTCTATGTTGATTGAAAGTTTTGCTGGGTATAGTAGTCTGGGTTGGAATCTATGGTCCCTTAAGGACTGTATGATTTATGTCCAGGCCCTTCTGGCTTTCATAGTTTCTGTTGAGAAATCTGGTGTGATTCTGATAGGTCTACCTTCATATGTTACTTGGCCTTTTTCCCTTGCTGCTTTTAGAATTTTTTCTTTGTTTTATAGGTTCAGTGTTTTGACTATGATGTGATGTGAAGAATTTCTTTTCTGGTCTAGTCTACTTGGTGTTCTGTAGGCCTCTTGTATGTTTATGGCCATCTCCTTCTTTAAGTTGGGAAAGTTTTCTTCTATAATTTTCTTGAAAATATTTTCCGGACCTTTGAGCCTGATGTCTTCTTTTTCTTCTATTATTCTTAATAAATAAGAATAAGAATAATAAACCTATTATTCTTAGGTTTTGTCTTTTCATGGTGTCCTTGATTTCTTGGATGTTTTGTGTTTGGAACTTTTCTGATTTTTATTTTTTCTTTGAGAGACGTGTCAATTTCCGCAACTGTATCTTCGGCTCCTGAGATTCTTTCTTCCATTTCTTGTATTCTGTTGGTGATGCTTACCTTTGTAGTGCCTGTTCTTTTCTATATGTTCTCCAGTTCCTGATTTTTCTCTATTTGTGTTTTCTTTATTGATTCTAATTCTGTTTTCATGTCTTGCACCATTTCCTTCATCTGTTTGAATGTGGACTCCTGCTTTTCAATGATAGCTTCCATTTTTTTGTCTGTTTCCTCTCTATGTATCACTAATTGTGCCTCTACTTCTTTGGGTATAATTGCCTGTATTTCTATGAGAGCTTTGTTCATTTCTTCTTTATTTGCCTTCATTTGTGTGGACATTTCTTTGAGAGCTTTGTGCATTTCTTCTCTGTTTGCCTCAATTTTCGTGGTCATTTCTCTGAGAGCACGATTTGTTTCCTCTTGGTTAGTCTCGATTTCTTTGGTTATTTCTCTGAGGGCTTTGTTCATTTCATCTCTATGGGCCTCTAGTAGCTGGAGAAACATAGTTTTGAGGTCGTTTTCTTGTATAACTAGTGAATTGAAGTGTCCATTGTTTTGTGGGGTTGCTGGTGAGGTCATTGTGTCCTGATTTTTGTTGGGAGTGTTCTTACGTCTGCCTCTAGCCATCTGGTTATTTATAATCCTCACTGGTTGCTCCTCGAGATTGTAGTTTGGGCTATGATCCTCTCTTTCTGTTTTCTGGACTGTTTTTTCAGGAAGATGAGAGAGGTTCACTGCTTTGGGAGTGTGCACTTTGTTTTCAGTTTTGTCTAAGTAAAGAAAGTGACGCTGGCGCTATTCGCGTGCGCTTTTAGCAGGCGCAGTGTGCATGCGCAGATTCTCTGACTATTGCAGTGGCCTGCAAGCCACTATTATGCAGTTCTGACTGAGATCCAGGGATTGTTTGCCTGAATTACCTTGGTGGACCCGCAAGGCAGAGGCTTCATTGTTGGGGTCGCTATCCCAAGAATCCCTATGATGCCCACACTAGGAGTGTGGGTGGCAGGGATCTCGTCTGGTTGCTTCTGTGGAGAGGCCCTGGGTCTGGGGCAATCTCTCCCTAGAAGGCTCACTCACTCTCTTGCAGGACCAGTTGGAATGCACAGAGGTTCCCCTTGCTCACTACTCTCTGTTTTGATCCTGCTGCGGAAGTGCACGGGTAGGCTATCAGTCAGCTCTGTGACACTGTGGCTGCAGAACTCGGTGTCCACCTTTTCTGTGTGCTGCCTCTTTGTCCTTTCCCTCTGCCAGGAGGGGTTATGTTGACTGGTCCCTGGGAAACACGATAACTGTTGTTTTAGGGGCCAGAGTTCAGTCTCCTGGTCGTTGCTCGGAGTGTGTTGTCCTGCTTCTCAGACACGGTGTTCTCCTGGTGCCGCCATCTTGGCTCCCTGGACAGTTCTTCAGGAAGCTGAGAGAGGTCCCGTGTCCTCAGCATGTGCTAAGGACACGTAAGCTGTACCTGTGGGAGAAAAGTATGCAGGCGTAAATGGGGCAAACACAGGCGTGCGTGTGTTGTGTGTGTTTGTGTGTGTGTGTTTGTGTATGTTTGTGTGTGTGTGTGTGGAAGTGTGCATGGAAGTGTGTCTTGAGGGACAGAGTAATAGATAATGTTGAACCCTTGAGTGTATGGGAGGGGCTCTGCACTGTATATGTAGCAGGCGCTAGTGATGGTCGCTGCGCAACTTCTGGCATTAACTGCCTTAACTCCTCAATTGGACCCACAGAGCAGGGGCTTCAATGTCCCAAGTGACCCTCTGTTTCCCAAAGTGGGTATGTGGGTGGGAGGGGTTTGATGCCTGGCTTCTGTTTTAGAAGGACCCTGGATCCGGGGCTCTGCCGGGTTCTTAAGGGTGCACTCACTCTCAGGCAGGTCTCTTGGCAGGGATCGGGGTGTCCGGGCTCTCTGCTCACTGGTTTGGCCCTGCTTGTTTGATGTACTCCACCAGCTCAGTGCTGCTGCCACTGCCAGGTTAGGAAGTCCCACTCCAGCTGGAGACTGGGATGCCAGTCCAGATGTTTTCTGGTAAGACCTGGGGGCCCTCCACTGTGCTCTCCAAGCCTGGGGAGGCCCAGAACCTGGTGTGCTTAGCTTGTATGGTGGGTCTGCTTGGCCTTGGTGGGTATATAGCGTAATATCTGTCACTGAGGGATTGGGCGGGCCATGCAGTCAATGTCTGAGCCACTCTGTGGGGCCAGTTTGTTGGCTAGCAGACCCAGGAATCTGGGATGATGGTGCTGCAGGTCTGGGCCTGCAGTGCAGGGGCCTCGATGTCCCAAATGACCCTCTGTTTCCCACAGTGGGTATGTGGGTGGGAGGGGACCAATGCCTGGCTTCTATTTTAGAAGGGGCGTGGATCTGGGGCTCTGCAGACACGCAACGGCATACTCACTCTCAAGGTGGTCACATCAGCAGGGATCGGGATAATCAGGCTCTCTGTTCTCTGGTTTGGCCCTGGTTGGTCTTAAACTGGAGGACTGATGTGCCCTGCCAGCTCAGTGCTGCTCAGCCACCAGGTTAGGAAGTCCCGCTGTAGCTGGAGACTGGGTTGTCGGTCCAGATGCTTTCTGGCAAGTCCTGGGGGCTCTCCACTATGCTCTCCAAGCTTGGGAGGCCCAACGCCTGGGGTGCCTAGCTTGTATGGCGTTTCTGCCTGGGTTTGGTGAGTATAATAGCGCATTCTTTGTCACTGTGGGGTTGGGCAGTCAGTGATCGTGATCTTGTGGAGCCAGTATGATGCCTAACAGACCCCGGACCCTGGGAGGATGATGCCGCCGGGTGGGTCTGGGACTCTGAGACCTGTACCACTGGCAGTTGCCACTAAAGGGCTAGGAGCTCCGCCTCCGCCGCTGCAGACCCCAGGCAGTTAAGTCTGAGAATCTTGATGAGTCCGCTGTGCCAAGGAGGAGGGAGGTCTGGAGGAGGGGAGTGCCAGGAGATCAAAGGCTCATTTCTCTCCTTACCCAAACAAGTCCCAGTGTGACCCGAGACCAAAGTTCTCACCTCATGCGATGTTCCCTGTTGTTTAGAAAGCCTCATCGTTGTTTTCCTGGGTTCAGAGGTCCTTCCACTCACCAACTCAGACATTCAGCTCTTCCACAGCTCAGAACCTGTGTGTGCTAGTCGCCATCTTGGCTCTGCCTCTATGTATATATTTTAAAAAGCTTCGACTATATTAGGTTTCGCTCATATCCATCCAATGACCTTTAACTTTTACTGTCTCTCTCTGTATTCTGCTCCTTGTCTCCCCTCCCCAACCATACTATCTACTCTATTTCCCCATCCTATGGAGACTATTTTCTTGCCCAGTTCCTTACTCTATACTTAATTTCTGTTGTTCTATGGATTGCATTTTGGCTTTCATTGACTTGACAACTAATATCCACTAATAAACAAATACCATATATGTCTTTCTGTGTATGAGTTACCTCACTCAGGATGATTTTTTTTTGTTTGTTTCATCCATTTACCTGTGAATTTCATTTATTTTGTCTCTTTATAAATTTACCACATTTTCTTTATGTATTCATCAGTTGGGAGATATATTTATAATCTTATGTATTAATTGGATACTCACCATGAACAAATAGATAATGATACTTTCTTTTGCTCTTTAGAAAATTCCTGCGTGGACCCACCATCTGTGGCAAATGCTACTATAGTAACAAGGCTCATGGCTAAATATTCAAATGGTGAGAGAGTACGTTATGAGTGTATTAAACCTTTTGAAATATTTGGGGAAGTTGAAGTGATGTGTCAAAATGGAATTTGGACCGAACCACCAAAATGCAAAGGTAGGGAATCATATTCCCCAATGTTTTTTTTTTTTTGATGACGTAATTTGGTTACTGTACATTAGTGAAAATAAATTAATTCTTATTAAAATTTTTTAAGGTTTTTTTTAATTGAGAATAGATTCTTCTCCCATACCATACATCCTGACCACAGTTTCCCATCCTTCCATTCCTCCCAATCTCCCACACCTTCCCTTTTCCCCAGATACTCTGCCCTCTGTTTCCCTTCAGAAAGGAACAGGCCTCTAAGAGACAAGAGCCAGAGGTGACAAAACAAGATACAATAAGACAAATCAAAAACCCTCACACTGAGGCTGACAGGGCAATCCATTAGGAGGTTGAATAGAGCAGGCAAAATAGTTAGATATATATCCACTCCCACTGTTAGAAGTTTCACACAACCACTAAGCTAATAGCGATAACACACACACACAGAGGGCCTGGTGCTGACCTGTGCATGCCAGTTGTTTGCTGCTTCAGTCTCTGTGAGCCCTGCCTAATTGATTCAGTGGGCTGTGCTCTCCTGCTGCCCTCCATACCTTCTGGCTCCTACAGTCTTTCCTCTCCCACTTCTGCATGGTTATCCAATATCCAAGAGAAGAGACCCAATGAAGACCTCCAACCTTAGAATCTCTCTCCTCCCAATGTCTGTCTGTGGATATCTTCTCCCGTTCCCATCTGCTGCCAGAGATAGCCTCTCTGACTGGACAGGGTACCAATCCTAGGTCTTTGGGCTCTCCAGTCTTTGCTTACTGATCATTGAAGCAGTGTAGGGAATGAGCTTCCTAGATATGGTTCAGCTGTTCCAGGATAGGCTCACTACCAAAATAACAAAAGAACCATTTTTTTTCAAATGAAAATAAAATTATATGGATAAACTTTTGTTTATTTTAGTAAATTTAATGAAGAAATACCATGAGAATTTTTCAACAAAGATTATATCAGATTAGAGGAACAATGTTACTAAGAAAAAAAATCATCTCTTTACATCTTAAGACACACATTTATTTGAGTTTATTAAATAGTAAATGTACGAAGTATATTTATATTAGGCTTGAAAAAAGATTTTCAAAAATATTCACTTTGAAGCATAAATGAATGGCGTAATAGAATATCTCCATATAATAAAATATAAGTTCTTCATAGTTAGCTCTCATTATTTCTTATATGTTATATTAAACATATAAAAATTCTCAATGAGTACATGCTAAGACTTAGTTTTTTTACCTTGTCAATCTATAAGCACTGTAGATTTTTTAAATTTTATTATTATTATTAATACAATTTATTCATTTTGTATCCTTGCTGTAGCCCCCTTCCTCCTCTCCTCCCAGTCTCACCTTCCCTCCCTCTTACTCCCTTATGTCCTTCCCTTAGTCCACTGATATGGAAGGCCCTCCTCCTCTATTATCTGACCCTAGCCTATCAGGTCTCATCAGGACTGCCTGGATCCTCTCTCTCTGTGGCCTAATTAGGCCACCTCACCAGGGAAAGGTGATCAAAGAGCTGGCCACTGAGTCCATGTCAGAGACAGTTCCTGCTCCCCTTACTAGGGAACTCACATGGAGACTGAGCTGCCCATGGGCTACATCTGAGCAGGGAATCTATCCTCTCTGTGCATGGTCCTTGGTTGATTCATCAGTCTCTGCAGGATCCCTTGAGCCCAGGTTTTTTGGCTCTGTGGGTCTCCTCATATCCCCTCCATGTAAGACTTAGTTTTATAAGCACAGAAAAATTCCAAATTACAGCAACTAGTCATTTGCTATTTGAATAGGAACTATATATTTATAATCCACATATTTTCATCATATCTATAAAGAAACTTCAACTGCCTAGTCCACCAATTAAATCTCTGTATTCAGGTCATTTTCATGTTAAACAACTATTAGTATATTTGATGTGTCTGCTCATTTGTAAATTTGTGTTTGTGTTCCCTGTTTATCAGTCTCATTTCTCTTTTTTTTCCCCTTTGGAGGAGTAGTTCTCAAGAAATTTTGGCATGCATCTTTTATTGGCTTTGAGTATGTAATTTGATTATGTTATATCTAATAGTTTTCTAATCACCTGTCACTGAGGTCACCCTAGGTATTTGTGTGTGTGTGTCATTCTGTACTAATGTTGAGATTTTATATTCCAATGAAAAAAATAGAAACTGTACTTATCTTTAAAATGCATCTATGGTTCCTATTTCCCATGTTTTACTTAAGGATTCATTTTGCATTTCCTGTTACATATATTGAGCAGCATTCTCAAATGCTAGGTTTCACTTCAAACATAAACATAAATTTACTCCTAGTTTTACCAGTTAATTTTCTCCTAAAGTCTTAATTTTTATTTCTGTAATGGATTTATTTTGCAATTATCCTTTAAGAGGAACTCTGTTGGAGATAAATCATCTTTATCTTCTTCTATTTTATAATGTCTTCATTAACTTTACTTGAAACGCTAGTACCACAGGACACAGAATTCAAGGCTAACACTCATTTTCTTTCTCTGCCTATGGCCTCCATGGTGGTAGACAAGAAGTCCCTTTATTTTGGATCTTGGTCCAGGATGGTTGATGATGACTTCCTAGGGAGTTTTTCAAGATATTTTCTTTGAGCAGTTTCAATACATGTGTCCACAGGATTTGTTCTGTTTGGCTTTAATCAGTTCTTTAATATGCACATTCATGCTGTATCCCCAATGTTTTTTTGTTGTTGTTGTTGTTTTGTCTTCCTTAACACTACAATATTTTGTTTGGATCTTGAAGGTTTTTTTTTTTTCTTTTTCTTTTTTGCTTCAGTTTCATAGTGTTCCTGTTGGGATGTTACTCATCAAATATACTATCAGTATTTTTCATGTCAGTCTTTCCTATAGCCCCACCAGAATAATCAGCAGTCCAGAAGAAAAACACATAGCTCAGTATGGTACAGTTAGATGAGTCCTGGATTTCTTTACTAAAATTTCCAGGTTCTTTGCTCTTCCTATATTATTTACTAAAAATAATATGGCCAAGAATTGCAGTTATACTTAGCAAAAGTATAACATAAAGAAACCCTTAACTTGACCACATCAGAAACTCAGAAATCCTCATTATTAGCCTTCTGCAATGGTATAAGCTTTAAATTCTTGTCTGTAAATGTGTTTCTACAAAAATGATGACAAAGATAAGAAATATACAAATAAACACTCCAGTGTCTTTTTAAATTTTTTTATTTTATTCATTTTATATCCCAATTGTAATCCCTCCCTTTTCTCCTCTTGGTCTTACCCTCCCTCTCTCTTTCCCCTTAATCCCTTCTCCTAGTCCTAAGAAAGAGAGAGCCCTCTTCTACCATCTGACCCCAGCCTATCAAGTCTCTTTAGGACTGCCTGTATCCTCTTCCTCTGTGACCTGGCAACCCTCCCCCCCACACACACACAGGGGAGATGTGATCAAAGAGTAGGCAACAGAGTCCATGTCAGAGACAGCTCCTGCTCCCCTTGCTAGGCCACCCACATGGAGACTGAGCTGTCTATTGGCTACATCTGAGCAAGGGCCCTCTTCATACATGGTTCTTGGTTGGTACATCAGTTTCTGCAGGCCCCTACAGGCCCAGATTTGTTAGCTCTGTTGTTCTTCTTATGGAGCTCCTGTCTACTCTGGGTCTTTCTATTCCCCTACTTTTTTCTAGGAATCCCCAGTCTTAGCATCTGCTTCAATCCCCTGCTGGGTGGAGTTTTTCAGAGAACATTTATGGTAGCCTTCCATCCTGTTCCCTCTCTTCAACTGCTTCTGATGTCTATTCTAGTTGTCTTTCTGAATGAAAATTAAGCATCCTCCCTAGGGTTCTCCTTGTTATTTAGCTTCTTTAGGTCTGTGGATTATAATATGATTATCTGTATTATATGTTTAATATCTGCTTATAAGTGAGTATGTACTTTGGGTGTCTTTCTGCTACTAGATTATCTCACTCAGGATGATCTTTTCTAGTTCCATCTATTTGCCTGCAAATTTCATGATTTCCTTGTTTTTAATAGCTGAGTAGTGTTCCATTGTGTAAATGTACCACAACTTCTGTGTCTTAAAGAACAAAGAAACCCTGTATATCTACATTGGCATCTGTGTGTTCAGAAGCTGATAGGAAATTTACACGTACTGGAAGGTTTCTGGGCAGACATGCTTGCTCCAGTTTAGTAAGTGCTTTCAATAAGAAAAAAGGAAGAACTTGCAACTCTCAGTTTATATGATCAAAATTTCTTCTAGTAACCATTTCTGTATTCAGAAATCACTAAAATCTTACTTCACATTGTGCTTATATTGGTTCTGCTTAAGCCTGTACTTGATCTGCTCTTTCAAACATCCAAATGTGTCTTTTTAGATTCAACAGGAAAATGTGGGACTCCTCCACCTATTGCCAATGGAGACCTCACCACCTTCCCATTACAAGTATATGCACCATTATCATCAGTTGAATATCAGTGCCAGGCCTATTATCAACTTAAGGGGAACAGCAAAATAACATGTAGAAATGGAGAGTGGTCAGAGCCACCAACATGTTTAGGTAAGTACCTCATTCTCATACATCATAGGAGATTCAGATTCATAATATGGATATTTTTCTGTTACTAATAGAACATTCACAAAATAAAAGTACTGGCTTGCTTATTGCTTCACTGCTAAACATTAGCATGTGAGAAAAGCAAGATTATTAGATATTTTTTATGAAAATAGTTGAAAAATAAAATTGTGCATGTTTTTCCTTATAATTGAGTTTTTACTAGCATGTATTAATGTCTGTAAAACTGGGTGCCAGCATGCTATTTCTATGCCTGTTGTCTCAGTCAGTGTTCTCTTTCTCTGAATTGACACTATGACCATGGAAACTCATACAAAAGAAAGCATTTAGTTCGGGATTGCTTATAATTTCAGAGGTTTAGTTCATATCATCATGTTTGGGACCATAGTCACCCAGAGGCAGACGTGGTGGGGAAGTATCTGAGAGTTCCATATCCAGGTCTGCAGCAGCAGAGATAGGAACACTTCTTCTAACAAGGCTGCACCTCTGCCAACAATGCCATAACACCTAGTCCCTTTCAAGTAGCACAACTCCCCGATGAATAAGCAGTATATGGGCCAGTGGAGGCCATTCTTACTCAAATCGCCACACCTGTATAGACCTTGCAGTTATTAAATTCCATGTCCCTCCTGCAATCTCCCTTCTCTTAGATGAGACAACTAACTTCTATTAATCACTGTCATACATTCAAGAGAAATTATTTCACTTTCCACTATGTGAGAAAGAACAAAAAGGAGTTGTCTTCCTGTGTTTGGTTTATTTCACCCAATGTTCTACAAGGCCCTTTTCTAACTAAAATAATAAAATTTTTATGTAATGTCTGAACAGTATTTCATATATAAATTTACCACGTTGTCCTTATAAATTTACCAGTTGATGGGAATCCAGTGTTTTTATCTTAGCTAGTGTGATGTAATGATGTGCAATAAATATATACATGCAGGTTGAATAGGTTGAATAATTTCTTCTGGCCACATACCAAAAAGAATGATACAGGTATAATAGATGGAAGATCTATTTTTAGATTTTTAAGGAATCTCAATTTTGTTCTCCATAGTAACTTCATGAGATCACAGTCTTATCAACAGCTTTTGAGTTTCTTTTCCCCTACACACTCATGAGAATTTGTAGTTTTTAAGGGCTCCTTTCTCCAACACTATTCTAACTGGGTGATAAGGTATCTTATCTTATCTTATTAATAGATTAATATTAATTAATTTTTTCTTTTATTAAAAATAGTTTTTTCATACAACACATCCTGATTAGTTTCCCTTCCCTCTGTTCCTCCCTATGTTTCCTTCTTTCTGGATCCACTACCTTTCTGTCTCTCATTGAAAAGCAACAGGCTCCTAAGAGATAAAAACCAAAAATAACAAAACAAAATATAAGACGAAGCAAAAGCTATCATATTGGTATACATGGCAATCATGTAGTAAATTTTAAAAGGCTTTGTTGGGCAGTGAAAAGTCAGCTAATGATATTAAGGTTCCCCCCCTCCGGGTCACGTTTACATTTTTTTTTTTTTTGAGAAGTGTCTATTCATTTATCCAATTTTGGTTAGCTTATTTTTCTTTTTAAATGATTTTTCAATTCCTTATGTAGTCTTAACATAGAAAACCCCTATAAAATATGTGTAAGTCCCTGAAAATTAATAACTGACAATCATTTACACCAAATCTACTGGCTATCTATTTCTTAGCTGTATTGAGTATATTCTCTGTTATCCACAACTATTTCATTGTGATACAATCCATTGGTCCAGGTTTTTTTTTTTGCCTTGTAGTTTGAGCATCCAAACTATGAGCATCCAAAACCAACGAAGTGTTTCCTTTTGTATTTCCTTGAAGTTTCCATGTTTTGTTCTTACATTGATATCTTTGATCAAATTTCAATTGATTTTTGCCCAGAATGACAGAATGAAATCAAATTTTAATCATCTTCATGTAGATATCAATTATCCTTATATAATTTATTGAATATGTTACCAATTCTTCACAATATGTTTTAGAACCTCTATTAAGATCAGTTAACTATAGATGCATAAGTCAAATTTTCAAATCTCCTTTTCATTCATAGGACAGTTCATAGTATTGAGATTATTGTGAGGAGCGTGGTATATATTAAGATATGGTTTTATGATATCTCCAGATTTTTTCTTTTTGCTCAAGTTTCAGTTGTCTACATATTCTATTGCATTTCCACATAAATCTTAGATTTTTAAAAAAAAATATTTTTATTAGTATTTCAGAGGGATTTCATAGAATCTATTTGCCTTGTGAAACACAGACATTTTAATATTAATTTTAATTCTTACAACCCATTTACATACATGATTCTCCCCTTTTTGTCTTTTCAGATTCTTTTACCAGTTAACTTATAGTTAAGATTTAAGTTTTCACAAAGCTAGATTAATTTTTTGAAGTTACTGATGTTGATATTGCATTTATTTAATTAATTATTTAATTATTGCATTTAGTTAATTCTCAGAAAAAAATGGAATTGACCTATATAAAGGGGTGATTTTTGTATAATAATAATGCATATAACTACCTTTCTGTTTTATTTTCGGTTATTATCTTTTAGTTGAGTTTTTAAGATTTACCACATATGTAAGTATATACTGCTTAAATAAAAATGATTTGACTTTCTGGTCAATAATTGGATACTTTATCTTTCTAATTATTATAATTCTAATTCTTAAACTATAGTAAAAACAAAAGATTGTGGAGACTAGACACGTCATACTTATTACTGATTATGTAGTCATTTTTTCTTTTATTAAAAATAGTTTTTTCATACAACACATCCTGATTAGTTTCCCTTCCCTCTGTTCCTCCCTATGTTTCCTTCTTTCTGGATCCACTACCTTTCTGTCTCTCATTGAAAAGCAACAGGCTCCTAAGAGATAAAAACCAAAAATAACAAAACAAAATATAAGACGAAGCAAAAGCTATCATATTGGTATACATGGCAATCATGTAGTAAATTTTAAAAGGTATCACCTAATAGATGTATATTATTAGGCTATAATTATTACAGTGGTATTATTTAGCCCACTGTCACAATCAATAAGACACAGAGGTGTTTGATTTTATAATTTATCTTGGGCTGGGCAGGTATTATACCTGTGCTGTCCCAATAACCTCTCCATCCACCTCCCAGACCATATCCAATGTCAACTGACTTAGCCATTCCTATCTGGGCTACCTTCCATTCATAATTTTATAAATACTTATTTATTTTTTTCATCTTGGTGTTTTCTCCATCCAGGCCATCCTTGGAGTCTTTCCTTCCAGGCCACAGGGTTTCTTCTCCACATTAACCCATCTTGAGGTCCTCCTTCTTCCTCTCTTCTCGTCTCTGTCTTTTTCCCATGATTCTCTTGTCCTCAAAGTCCAGGAACACTACTCCATTCTTTCTTCCTCAGGTTTTCAGCCTCTAATTAACCAATCAGGTAAAATGTCTTAGGTAGGTTTACATAAACAAGGATAGGTGTATCCAGGCAGTAATGAGATCTTGAAGGCTAGTAATTAGCATCAAAATACAAGCATCAGACCAACCACCAACAATTCTCCTTTTCTGTCTAAATAAAAAGGCCATTTTTATACAGTAAGAATGATTATGAAACAATTATTAAAACCATAAGTAAGACTTAAATGTTGAGTCTAAATGTATTTGACAATCTTGAAAAAAAATCTATCCAATCTATGAGTGTCTCAAATTTTGTACCTAAGTTGTTATTATTATAGTTTGTATCTATCAACCAAAAAACATATTTTTAGACTTAAAACTTTTTTAAATTTCTAAGCAAGTAAGCAAATTATAAATCTATGGCTATTTAGTCTTCACCCCCATCAGAGACTTGAGAAGGAATAAAATTAAATACTTGAGTAAATAGGAAGTGCATGTTAGAAGCCTCCAAAAAATAAAAATTGACAGAGACAGTTTGCTACTTGAACAGCCACCCAAAACTCTCTATAACGTTGAAGCATCATATTCGCCTTCTGGCCCAGTACCTTTGCCAGACATATTAGTGAAGCAGGAACTATTTAGGTCTTACTTACCCTGTCTTGGCAGAGTTTGGCAATCGACTTGGCCTGCATTTGAGGTTGCCCATTTTGGTCCGAATTCTGTCTGTCATAAAGCAAGGGCATTTTTGTTGCCAAGTGGCTGGTTTGCCACATTTAACGCCATCTCCATATAGAGGTTCTTCAACATTCATCATGTTCTTTGAGGAATGCTGGGTACTGTCAGGAGATGACATGTCTCATTGTCAAAGAATCCTTAAAGCCATATTCCGTAAGTCTCTGAGGTCTATCTTTATGTTAAACCTAGGATGTACATTTCTGTGATAAATTAGACTAGTGTCTGACATGACCATGAGTTGATTAACAATTAAATTAATTGTAAGTAAGTAAACCTTAAATTTGTATCAGTATACCAAAATTTATACCAATGTATCAAATATAAACTTATTTTTATGTAATATACAAAATCCTATACCAACAAATTTAAAAAAAATTATTTGAGGATAGCAAATAAAGCTTTAAGTTGAGGAATAGATTCGGTAATTTACCTTTTGTCTTATAATTTCTCTAAGACATCCCTGAATTCCCGTTTTCTTTCTTTTCAACACTTTTCTTATTATATAAGAATGAAAAAGAGAGAAATCTCTGAGTCTAACCTCATTTTCTCTTCGAATAAGATCATTAATAACTTACAACCATCTCCAATGACAATAAACATTCATAGCACCAGAAAACAACCAAAAACCTACACAACTCCCCACCCCCTTAAGTGACATCCTTCTTATAAATTTCTTCTAGCTGATTAAGGATGAAGAAATCCTATTTGGGGGTCCAAAGGAAATTGGGAAAAATGGTTAAGCAAGTTAGCAATAACATTTGTGGTCCATTCTCTAAATGTTGAGAAATTCCAGGCTTAATAGAAGTCTTGTTTGGAACAGTTTGAAATGCTGGACCAAT